CCGCACCCTCCTATGGGTCACTCCTCCATATATCACCCACGCAGCTCAGCTGCTTCGTATCGCCGGGGCCTCTGAGAAGTTGAAATCTGACAGGAGGATGAGGGGGTTTGCCTTTTTCTCCCCCGCGCTGGTCCCGGGGGATGCTGCTGACTTGGGTACAACCGTGGGAGTGGGCTTCGCTCGCCGCGCTTTGAGCATCTCATTGCCTTCGCTGGCAAATCCGGCCCGGGGATGTGCAGGGTGCCTCTCCGGGCTCGTAAAGGTCTCGTGTGGGATTTTTAAATCGCAGGTGTGGGGTCCCTGCTGGCCCGATTCCAGCTCTCGGAGGGGCCGAGCACCCCAGCCCCCCTGGCCGTGCAGTTCACCAGCGAGGGGAGCACCCTGTCCAGCTGCGACATCGAGCTCGTCGGCGCCGGCTACCGCTTCTCCCTCATCAAGAAGAGGTTTGCGGCAGGTAGGTGCCTCGGCGGCGGTTCTTCTTGGGATGGCGGTGTCCCTGACGGTCCCCTCTGGCTGTGCTGGCTCCCCCGGGGGTGGCCGTGCTGTATATTTGTTGACCGTTCCATTGCATTAAATAAATCCCGCTGCCACTTAACGAGAGCCTTGAATTTCGCGGGCTCTTTCCTGCTGGTGGGTCCTGCACGAAAGGCAAGGGCTGGGGATGTCCAGGAAGAGCTTTTGCCCCATTGCTGCGGAGAAAGACAAGTATTTTTCCTTTTTCTCCAAGGCTGAATAGAAAAACGAGTATTTCCCCGTGTGCCGCTGGTGCGTGGCAGCAGCGTGGCCGTGGGTGCGGGGGTTGGCGGAGGCTGCTCCCTCCCCACAGCTGATTTCTGATCCCATTTCTAGGTAAATACTTGGCCGATAACTGATGGAAGCTTATGCAAGTCTATGGAAAATAATATGGAAAATACCCAAGGACTGCTGTGCGTGGAACGGGTTTTAATTGCAGTTTAAGGAAAATGAACTAAATCCTGCACTCGGGACATTTCTGTTGGAAGTGTCGACAACTTTCAGCATTTTTTTCCTTGGAAAACACCGTCTTGACCAGTCCTACAGTATTTACTTCTAGATGTAACATTGTTAATGGTTTTAAAATGTAATTATTGTATTTGTAAATTGTACTCATTCCAGTAAGGCTGTATTTTGGCAGTTAGACACTTGAGTTTTAGCATTTTACCATTCATGAAATGGATGTAATTTAAACTGTGGTATATAAATTTAATAGTAGTACTGTTGAATGGCACAATGCTTACAGAGGTAGATTACATTTTGTCAATATATACGATTTAAATACAATACTGATAGCTGTTATGAAGGGGGTGCCTCATAAAGGGAGAGTCAAGTAGAACCGACACGCTGATTTACTTTTTCTTCAGTCCTTAGTACGTCTCACGGTGATGAATAAAAAGCTCTATCTTCAGGTTTAGCTGGTTTAACTCCAGAAAAAAATATTGCTGTAAATGTGGAGGTTTTTAACACAGTCCCCCATCAAAAAAAAAAAAAAAAGCCGCTTCTATAAAGAGTATTTACATCAAATTTCCATGGCAAGAATCCTCCGTGAACATGCCCTGTGTTCTCCTACAGCCACGGATTAACCGTCAGGAGTCCCAGCGGCGCGTGCACAGGCGATGGGCGCTCCTCTTTTGCCCCACGTCCTTCTGTTTTGCAGCGACGCAGATAAAGAAATAAGCAGGCAAAGAGGTTGGGTGGTAAATCTGAGCTTACAGCGCTGTCCAGAAATGTTATCGCTGGTTTTAAGGATGCATTTTCCGAGCAGTCTCCAGATTATCAGTCGCATTTCTATGTTACTTTGCTTGCTTTTGCTGTTGGTTTTTCCCCCCCCCCGTTTTTGAAAGCCCCACGGGTTTAGCAAATGCTTTAGAGTCATTAGGCCCCCCCATGCCTTTCTGTTTAACCACTTAGGCAGGAAAGTGTATATATATATATATATATATATAAACATTGGAGAACGAATGCAGCCCAAGCCTGACCCTCGGTGGGACAGCGGTGCCGGGGCAGCAGGAGCAGCATGGGGGGTTGCCGAAAGCCCGTGGGGCAGGAGCCCACCTGGCCACCATCAGGAGCAGTTATCTCATGGAGATGGGAAAACGCACAGAAGTGCTAAACTGGAAGCTGAGGGGGGGTGGGGGGGTGGGGAAAATTGTCCCTCTGTGTGTTTTCCCTGAGCTGACAACGGGCTCGGAGCCTCTCTGTGCATCGCCTGCGCAGAGTGCGATTTCTGGCTGCCGTTGGTCTCGGCCCACTGCTGGCAACACGCTGAGAGCGTTCGTGGCATTGATGGCGCGGCATCTGCCGAGACGGAGAGCTTGTTTTAGCGGGAGAAATTGGCTATAGGGAGGGGGAAAAAAGGAGGGATCTTTTCGGAATTAAATGCAGCTGCTGCTCAGATGCACAGAGAAGCACAGGAGCATCCGCTGAACGGGGTGCTGGGGACTCTAGAAACGAGTGAGATGACAAATAGTCCTAATTTTACAGTCAGAAATGTTGCCAGGATTAATTAGGCTTGTGCATTTGCGTTGGAAAACTTAGGCTGCGCGTGTTGGGAAGTGCTTGCTCAGAGAGCAGCTCGGAGTGACATAAGAAAAGAGAAAGCCGTGCCCATCTTAAGAGAAAATAAGGAAATCTGGAGATGTTTCAGTTCTGAGATGACTCCCAGACTGAGCGGCGTACGATAGGGTGGTTGAGTTGTGCGCACGCTCACGGAAGGTTTCGACACAGAAGATAAAGCACAATTCAGTCACGCAACTTCATACATCTTGGCAGTTTTTGACAGTAAACTTGCCAGTACTCCTGGATGGAGCGTTCAAGTCCATTAATAATTTTTCCCCTGAAATGGAAATATGGACAAACCGTGTAACCTACCCCTTTCTGGCAGGAATATAGGGCAAAATCTCAGAATCAGGTTTTGCGTAATTGGTTCATGCTGTGTACAATTGTTATAAACTCATGCTTCCAAAAGAGATCTATGTCATAGTCACGAAAATAAGGATTTTATAATGTAAATATTACCAGAACATAGATATTTTACTTTATATTTCATTTGAAAGACAAGGTGTTTACATTAGCGTTGGGTTTTTAAATGCTTTTTAAACAAAAAAAACCCATAACCCAAAGCTCCCAAGCTTATCCCATTCATGCTGTCCCCAAAATGGAGGTCACTTTTTCGGGGTGCGTGGCAGTGCTGGGATGCAGCCCCTGTGGCCCGGGATGAGAAAGTCCTGTACCCTTTGTGGGACGGACCGCTTGGCAGACCTGAATTCGCTGTGCTGGCGCGCTTGCAGCCCCGCGGGGGACATGGTCCCTCTCCAGCCACCAGCAGGTGACAAAAAACAACTATTCCCAGCTCGCAACCCTGGGACCAAAACCGATGGTTTGGGGCAGGATTTTTGCATACTGCTTTTGCCAATTTTTTGCATAGTGTTTCGGTTCACTAGGCGTTTGCATAGGAGTGTTGAACTGCATGTCTCTGCTTTCCCTCCCACCACCACCGCCCTTCTGGACTCCTTCGCAAAGAGATGCCAGTCCGTGTTGATACTTTAATTTCCCTGCCCTGTTTGGGGTCTGAGCAGAGAGGCAGAGTGGCAGAATGACCCAGGGATGCTTATTTTGTCCCGTGCTTGTCTTCCTGCGTGCCACATGAGCACGGCGCCCCATCATTATCCCAGCTGGGGAGGGGGAACGGACCAGTTGCGTTTCTGAGTCTGAAGTGCAGGAGGTCAGTGTTCTTTCTGCCTGGCTTCGAGAAGGCATCAGCAAAGATTAAGGGCAGCAGCTTGGGACGTACCAGGCTTAAATTTAGAGCACCAGATAGGGATGTTTATCCCCGATTCCAGCTTCTGTAGTTGTGGTGAGAGCCCTCCAGAGAGGGCACGGGGGATGCGCTGCCCCATTGCATTGAGGGCACTCAAGCTCTGTAGGCTTCACCTCCAACTTGTAGGCAGGAAAAAACACGTTTCTTCAGGGAATGCATTTGTTTGGTGCTCCCTGCCCGCGAGCAGAGAGCAGCTTGGCCAGCAGGGAGTTGAAAAAGCAGCAGCCTGGAAGTCACCTGCATTTCTAGAGCTCAGCATCAGCGCTCTGCTCCCGAGCGTGTGGGCCAGCGGGTCTTCTGCCGAGTCAGGCTGGGGCTGAAAAAGGGGCTCAGCCCTCCAGCGCCGGCACCCCTTATCTCAGCAGCACTCAGATCTAACTATCTGAGTTAAAGAAAAAAAAAAAAAGATAAATAAAGGAGGCATTCAAATAATAAATAAGTGTGATGCATGCACAGAAAGGCTTTAACTCGGTTCCTTGTATGGACTTTTCCCTTTAGAGTGTGTCCTCAGCCACCTCTCCACCGAGGGATTTTCCTCCGGGGTCCCAGTAGCCGCCAGCAGCCCACGCCTGTAGGGTCGAGGTTGCCACTGATGGAGTGGGAGTGTTTTTCCCCACAGACACCTGCAGATTTGGGTGTTTAGATGTTAGTCTTCTTTTTTTTTTCCATTTTCTTCTTCTGTTTGTTGCAAATAGTCACGATTCTCAGCCAGCTTATGGTGCTCCTGACAGGAGATGTTTCAGACCAATTTTCTACTTTAGCGATATTTCTTAATAACGATGAAATGGCTCAATAGTCCGAAATACTACCAGATTATAAGCATTTCATTTGGGGTTTTAATTTGTTCTTAAATATCACTCCCCTGTTATAAAGCTTCTTATTTTTGCTGCAAGGCCGCTGTCCATTGAACTCCTATTCCTGCTCGGCTGGCGTGAGTGCTCAGTGCGTACGTGTGTGGTTTCACTCGCAAAAACTTTGTCACGCGAGCGCGGTCTTGTACCGAGGAAGTTACACAACTGCACGTTCCTCCCGACACAGGCTGGACTTAGACGTTAGTCCTGTTATTCGGTATTTCAATTAAATTAATTTGGTCTTCAGTAGGCCCTTTCAAGATTTATCTGTTAGAGGTTTTTTAAAACATAGATGGGGAAAAAAATAGAGTTTGTGTTCAAATGACATCCCGTTTTGGCCAGGCAGGGCGGGGATGAGGAGGGAAGGCAGTTTCCCAGGCGGGCTGCCGGCACCGGCACACCCTTGCTGCGGGATGCTGTCAGGGTATCTCTCGCAGCTGTGCCCAGCGTTTGGGCTGCATGGGCAAAACCAGAGAAGTATGCTGCTTAAACTTATCATTTTGAAGCCATGCGCACCCGCAGGTAAGACCCATCTGCCTTCTCCTTTTAACACGATCACAGGGCCTGGGGTAGTTGTTCAGTGCCCAGTCGTAAAAATTGGTCAGCTCTTGCACGGGTGATTATTTTCCCACCGAGCCCCTGCCAAGACTTTGCCGCGCTGCCCACGCCACCACAAGTTGTACTTATGGTTGTTTACCTAATTGTGGATGAATCAAAACCATTTGGCGATGACACTCTCTGTTGAACCGCAGTGGCAGAGATTCCTGCAGCAGGAGTGTCACGTAGAGTCACCGCTTCGCTTTCTCCCAGCAGGAGCATTTATAAATGGCTGGACTGCAATGGGAAGGTGACATATTTTCAAATGACCTAAGAGAGAGTCAAACATCTTTTACGAAAAGCTTTCAGCCCTCCTCAGACCTCTCCCTCGGTTCCCCCTCTCTTTCGGCAGCGGTGCGGTTTCTGTGCCCACCGGGCACATGGTGCAGTTCTGCCTGGCAGGGGAATCCTGCTCCATTTCACCCTTTCTTTTTTGTAAATACAGCCCATGGGTCTGTTACCCAAACACCCAACAGCTACTTGAGAAAGCCACTTCAATACACTGAATATGGAGTGATTTTTTTTTTCCCTACCCTTTTGTCGGTTTTATGTGAAAATGTCTCAGTTAAATCCTTAATTTTTAAGCTTACCATGACCAAAATATGTAACATAATCACATTGTACTTCCCCAGTAAGAAATTACTGTTTCAAAGATTTAATTTCATAGCCAGAATTCTTCTTTTCTTCTTTTTCTCACAATTTCCCAAGGAAGATAATTCTTGCAGAGCCAGGGAGTTTTTATGATCATCACTATTTTAATTCTTGTTTCACTGTAAGGCTAGAAAAAGACCTGCAGAAATACCCCTCACCTCCTGCGTGACCTCCCCATCACCTTAGGAGGGACTGCACATAATGCTGCTGACAACTGGTCTTAAAATCCCAAGCGTTAGCGTGGCGATGCTCTTCAAAGGTTTGCACACAAGCAGGACTTCACTACAGGCCAAGCAGTATGGGATAAAACACGCCGGGTTTTAGCGAGGCCTTCAGAATATCTTATTCCTCCGTTAGAAATCTCTCTCTTTCTGGACAGGGGGCGAATTGCTGCAGACACGCCATCCTGCTGTTGGGTTCGTAATCCACGCAGGAGGGGTTTTCCACTCCCAAACGCTCTAAGGTTGATAAAAATCACCCGGTTGCTTTGACGGCATAAAACATACGGAGACGTTAGTCGTGGTCTGAGAGAGGAATCGAGTCGGGTTGTGGATTGAAGCTCCGGTCCTGCAGCCACGGGCTGGTGGGCAGAGGGCTCAGGGCGCAGGAGAACCTCGCCGTGATACCTCTGAACCCAGAGGAAGCCCCAGAAGTGAATCGGATTTCCCGGGGTATCGCCCTGTATCATTTTACGAACTCCCTCATGTATAAAATGTTTATAAATATTTGTGGATTAAGATACACAGGTCTATTTTTAAGATTTAAGTTAAATAAGTTAATTAATGGCTGGCCTTTTCTGCCTAAACGTGCAATGAGATATATTATACCTTTAGTCTACGATGGCCTAGGTACTGCTTAGTCTGTGATGAAAACTTTGCTGCTTACCTACTGTTCTCAGAGAAAAAAAACTGTAAAAGACGTACAGGTTTGTTGCACACGGACTATCGCAGCAGAGCTTTGTATTTGACCACTGGTAATATGAATGTGTTGTATTGACTTGTTGAAGATAATCATGAAACAACATATTTTAAATGTTACTTGCCTTATAGATTAGAATACGACTATGTGGATATCATTTTTGTAAATAATGTTTTTTATAAATGTCTTTCCTCCATTCTCCCCGTCACCCATTTCACAAAATCTTGAATATGCAATTATTTACCATGCATACTGTTGCAACAAATAAATCCCCATGTCAGAACAAAGTTTATTAATTCTATACATAAGAACCACATCAAATACCCGATTGAGTTGCAATTTAAATGTGATTTTTTTTTTTCCTTGAAAATAAACCATAAAACACTACTTTTTCTGAGTGAGCTTTGCTTGCACGTGCAGGAGCACCCGGAGGAGCCAGGCGGAGGTGTCAGGGGCTGCCACGTCCCCAGCCCAAAACATCGTTGCTGCTGGAGCTATGTGCAGCTTCCCCGCCTGGGGACAGGTCAGGGTTGGCATGTGGGGACATGAGGAGACCCACGGGGACTTGTGGAGCTTGAGGAGGGTGCATGGGGGCTGTGGGGACATGAGGGACCGTGGCTGTGTTGTCCCTAAATAAGGGTTCTTCACCCGGCGTGCAAGAGCCAATAAATGCACCGAGTCGAGGTATTTGTTTTTATTTCAATTCTGCAGAATCGGGTGCCAGGCATTTAACAACAGCCAGCACACCACAGCTTTCAAACCGCCCAATATTTATAACGATAAAATACAGCTGATTGGTTAATAACGATTCCTTCTCCAGTCCTAACTACACACATGCATCTAAGCTCAGATTTAAAACATTGAGGGAGGTTACCTGATTAGCATACTCATTATTCACACAGGAGTGTGTATTTTAGCATTATAATTACCCAAGGTTGGTTTGGGATACCCTCTTGGCTCCACTTTGGTCCAGAAGTTACATTTTTTGCTATCTGACGCCTAAGTGAGCAACTGCAAAAGAACAGCTAAGACACGCTGTTTCGTTCATATCCTGTTCAAGGTGAGGTACCTTCTGTGATGTCTCAACCATGGCCCAACAGAAACTTTGTGATAACCTTTTAGCTTTGTTCTTTAGACACCAGCTGTGGGTGCTTGTGGGGGTTGAGGGGACCCATGGGAGGCCATGGGGACACATCAGAGCTGCAGGGACATGTGGGGGCTATAGGGACCTGTGGGGTCCAAAGGGATCATGGGGACCTGTTGGGGCTATAGGCACAGGTGGGGACCTGTGGAGGTCATAGGGACACATGGGGGGATGTAGGTACATGTGGGAAATCATGGTGACATGTGGGAGCTGTGGGGACCCATGGGGACTGTAAGGACACATGGGGACCTCTGGGGTCCATAGGGACCCACAGGGGTCACGGGGACCTGCGTGGGCTATAGGGACATGTGGGAACCTGTGGAGGCCATAGAGACAGATGGGGGCTGTAGGCACAAGTGGTGGCCAAGGGGACCCACGTGGGCTATAGGGACCTGTGGGGGCTGTAGGCACACGTGGGGACCTGTGGGGTCCACGGGGACCTGTGGGGGCCCTGGGGACCCGCAGGGGCCATGGAGACATGTGGGGGCTGTGCAAACCCGTGGGGAACCTGTGGAGGTTGCAGGGACCGTCAGGAGCCATGAGGACATAAGGGAGCTGTGGGGACACGTGGGGACTGTGGGGACGCATAGGAGCCACAAGGGCACACAGGGAGCTGTAAGGACATGTGGGAACCTATGGAGGCCATGGGGATGTGTGAAGACACATGGGGGGCCTGCAGGGACTTGCAGGGACCCGTGAAGGCAGTGAGGACATGTGGGGAGCTGTGGAAGCCATGGGGACACCTGGGGCCTTTAGACATACGTGGCGACCTGTGGAGGCTGTGGGAACCCGTGGAAGCTGTAGGGACATATAGAGGTTGTAGGGACATGCACGGAGCTGTGGGGACCTGTGGGGGTTA